AATCATCCATCCTGTCTCACATCTGAAGTGCACATGCTCTTACTGCAAGCATATAGGTGTGACACCCTGAATTCAATTTGAAGAGTAAGCTGAAATATAGCATCGAGTTTATTTTTAACCTGAGTATTCTCCTAGGAGATGAAAATAAAGAGGGGGTGGTGATTCTGGTGCAAAGCCAAGTGTCTGTCACTTGTGTGAGACCCTTCTCAGCGTGACCACTGTACCTTGACTAAGTGAACCATCGCATCTGCAAAGAACACCATGTCCATGCCAGCTCCGCGGGTGCTCTCATCATGCAGCTGCAGGAACATGTTCAAACGCTCCTTCAGGTGATGAAAGGACTCAATTGGCTCATAAATTTTGGGCATTTCAGCATCAGCCTCCTCAGATGCTTCACCTGGGGTTGAAGAAGAAGAAGCAATTAACTGTCTTCCCATTACAGGACTTTATTGCTTCCTTCTACCTAAATTAATACACTGATAGCCCTACAATTTTATACAGTATAATACTGATCTTCACCATAATGCCATCTCATGCCTTATTAGGGGACGGGAAAAAAGAAAAACTGCACAGGCGTTATGATTCTCCATGATCACAGGCCGTCTTAGTTTTTCTTTTCTAGAAATGACCAATTTCAAACAACATTATATTTACTGAATTTAATTTGAACCCACACTGAAACACTGGCATTTTAAATATTCTTCTAGAGCAATCTGTTTAATGGTCAAAGTGAAGGTCTGAAAGGTAGGGACGTAATGTGCAAACCAGCCAGAGAGATCAGGAAGGATACGGCTTTTTAAAGAATGAAAAGGCAAAGAGCACAGCATTTGCTCAGGACATTTTTATGAGTCAAGTTTTTCAGGTTAGTAGTGAGGCTAGGAATGTATTTTAGGAAATGGGTGGGAAGTTGAGAGAAAATAGAAAAATAATTTCCTGAATCAATAAGCATATCAAATCATTTCACTAGAAAAAGACACATTAAAATTAATATAACATTTTTTAATTAGAAAGACATAATATAACTGCTAAATGCTTTTCCAATTTTGACCATAAAGCATAACACCAAAGAAGAGCTAAATTAAGCACAGGCAAGTTTACTCTCAACACTAATACCAGGACACAAAGTGACTTTAGTTGAATATGCCAACAAGAACTTTCAGATTCACTGGGAAGAGTCAGTGATTCCTACTCCTTAAACCACATACTAATTTCAATTGGCCCTGTCCTCATGAAATAGTATGTTAACCTTTCTAGGACAC